TCTTACATATTTTTGCTTTACCTTTTACAGGGTTTGTTTGTTGAAGGGTCCTTTCTTCTTAGGTCACTTCTGTTATTTTGTTAAGGGATAATTGCAAAAACCGACATTTGCACTGATCTCCCCTGTGGTTTGAAAAATTACACCGGCCTCCCTTGAGGTTACTAATCCTTTGCAAATTTAGTTCAAACGATTAAAATATTATTTTAGGAAGTAAAATTAGAATTTTGTACCAAATTTGCCTTTTGTGCTACATGTCCAATGAATGACAAAGTACTATAAATCAATTAACAATTAATAAAATTTAAGGAGTATAATTTATGGGCAAACATGCATTACTCATTTAAAATACCGGCTCTTTACGGGTATTTTACTTTCAAACATTTAATTTGTGATAAATATATCAATATTTGTAAGTAAAATTAAAAAGTGTTAAAGTAATATTTTTGCAAAAAGGAAATCGATAGGTTATTTATTTAATATAAATTAAATATTTTTTAAAAAAAAGAAATGACCCATAAAATATTATTTTTTATGACTTTCATCCATTACATAAGTAAAGTATTCGCTCTTTATGTGCATTTTATTCATTTAATTTATGTTAAATACATAAATGTTTGTAACTAAAATTGAAAAAATATTATATTAATATTTTTATGAAAGGGAGATTGGTAGTTTTTGTATTTAATAAAAATTAAATATTTGAAAGCAAATATAAATATGTATTTGAGCGTAAAATATTTGTATTAAATTAAATGTTTGAAAGTAACATATCTATAAAGAGCCGGTACTTTAAATAGTTATTAGCTCTTTATGGGCAAGCACGCATTACTCATTTAAAGTACCGGTTTTTACGGGTATTTTACTTTCAAACATTTAATTTATGATAAATATATCAATGTTTGTAAGTAAAATTCAAAAAGTGTTACAGTAATATTCTTGCAAAAAGAAAATCGTTAGGTTATTTATTTAATATAAATTAAATATTAAAAAAAAGAAATGGCCCATAAAGTATTAATTTTTTATAGCTTTCATCTATTACATGAGTAAAGTATTGGCTCTTTATGGGCATTTTATTCTAAATCATTTAATTAATCTTAAATACATAAATGTTTGTAACTAAAATTGAAAAAGTGTTATATTAATATTTTTACGGAAGGGAGATTGGTAGTTTTTGTACTTAACAAAAATTAAATATTTGAAAGCAAATATAAATCTGTATTTGAACGTAAATATTTGTATTAAATTAAATGTTTGAAAGTAAAATACCTATAAAGAGCCGGTACTTTAAATAAGTAATGTATATTTGCCTATAAACTATATTCCTTAAAGTTTATTAATTGTTAATTGATTTGTAGTATTTTGTCATTCATTGGACATGTAGTACAAAGGATAAATTTGGTAAAAAATTTTAATTTCACTTCCTAAAACAATATTTTAATCGTTTGGACTGAATTTGCAGAGGATTAGTAACCTCAGGAGAGGTCAGTGTAATTTTTCAAACTACAGAGGAGGTCAGTGCAAATGTCAGAAACCTTAGGGGAGGTTTCTGCAATTATCCCTTTTGTTAAACTACCTTTTCTTTTTGAGCGTTGGGAGGTTGGATTTCTGGCAATATGTAAAAGTCGGTTCGGACTTCCTCTCCCTTTATTGATTTTCTCTCTTAATGGTCCAGTTGGTGGGGAAGCTATTCCATTTGTTTAAGTTGGCAACTTGGCTATGTGATATTATGGTGACTTTTTGAGTGGGGAGTAAGGGGATGGTTTGGGGTAGGCCTTACCATTCAATTTGCTGCTCTTGCATAGTTATGATACTTTATGTTGGCATTTAATCTTGCAAGCTAATAAGGGTCTTTATAAGATGATAAGGAAATAAGGGAACTATAGGAAATAGCTAACTACTTTTGATGCTATTATTGTAATCTTGGAAACTTTTTAGGCCCTTCCAAAGATGATTAAATGCAACTACTTCCACTAGTGATCATTTATTGCTGTTCTTATTGAGTTTCGAACTGATACAAAGCTCTTCAGGCGATCTTATAATTTTGCTGTTCTTATCCGTGATGGGGTTTCTTCCATTTCGTGAAATTGAGTAGAATTTTGAGAAGTCTTTAAATGATTTTGTCCAAGTTAGAGGACAACTTTAATAGAAGGATATAGAACTTGTGTACTCAAAGGACCTGAAGAAACTTTGTATAAGATATGATGGCTGGGAAAAGTGAATGAATAGACTAACAGTGCAATCAGGTTATCCTTCAATTAAGCCCTGTACCTTGTATGAAAACAGCGTTTTTGACATAAACCGCCCAAAGCTTCTTAAATGAATACTACCGAGGGGTAATATTCAATGAATGCTTCCCCGGCTCTATTAACATTTCCAATCCAAAGAATCGCTGAGCTTTCAGGGCTGAAATTTTGGGTTGATATAATTGCTGTGAGGCCCCAAACTTGAAAGGATGAAAGGACAAATTTAGTTGCTGCAACTTCTTTAGTTTGAGAGTACTTTATTTTGTTTAGCACACGTAGATCGCCTATAGTTTGGGATGTACCTGGAGAGAAAAGCATAAATAGGCAAGTTGAAGTGGGGTCTGCTATTATGAATTAGCTGTTTCCAACTGCTTTGCTTTCCATCATTGCAATCATTACTCCTTTATAGACTAATTTTTACCCATTTGTGCTTACATGGGTGGTCATATCTTAAACAATCAGTTCATGAGAATAAAATCCAAATGCTCATCTATGTCAGCATATTTTAGTTCTATTTTAATCTCAAAGGCAGTTTTTGCTGTTATCCTGCAATGTGTTTTTCTATATTCCCATTTCCAATAGTGATAGTTGATGGTGCTGCACTTGAAAATGATTAATTAAGACTAACATAATATTCGGTCTTAAACGCTCCACAGGAATCTGAATCTTTAGCCAAGACAGAGATAGTTATTGTTTAAACAGGTTTTCAATGTGAAACACCATCAATTAGTTGATAACTTGAACTAAGAATCACATTAGTAGAGAAATCAGATCCTCCTTTTGCTTTTTAATAGTTTGTCACCCGACAACTCAGTTGTGTATTGTCTCTTTCCAGATTTCAGGCACTGCAATGGTGCTGGATGAGATCATTAACCATGTTCAGTGCTTACAACGTCAAGTGGAGGTCATGCTTCAAGTCCTTTATTCTTTTTTTGGTATATGTGATCTGGTGATTTTACGGTTATGGGTGCTAAATCGATTTCCTGTTGGTTTCTTGATTGGCTTTCAGTTTCTCTCAATGAGACTTGCTACCGTTAATCCCAGAGTTGATTTCAATCTTGACACACTACTTGCAGCAGAGGTATGTGTATTTATTTCCTGCATCTCTTTCGGTGTCTTGAATTCAATGGTCTATAAGAGTACTGCTAAAACATATCTGTTTGAATCATCCTGATTGTTGTGATGAAATATCCAGTGATATGAAATACGGGGGTGAGTAAACCGAGAATTGAGGAGGTATCTCTGGAGTGTCAAATATGAACCACCCGTGCTATCTGTCATCTCTGCACTACTGCTAAAGCTTAAGCAGCTGATAAATATGCCTTCAGTTAAAGCAATCTGTATAAGGATGCTCTGTCTTTTTCTAACAAGGGAATTGCATTTTTCTGAATCCAAAAAAAAAAAAAAAAAATCAATCAGCAATGCCAGAAGGGTTTTGCTTTTTTGCTTACAGTATCTATTCCACTCATGGAATGCTAAATCTTCTCACTTCCTTTTGGATTTGTTGCATAGTTGCATTTATCTGAGTTGCTAAGTGTACAATAGGCAATAGCACCATTGAATGTGTGAAAAGCAATCCTTCCTGGAATCCTTCATTTTCCTTGTGTTGTTTAATGGGGAGTTTGAGTTGCCATGAATGTGTGCCACTCATTGAACTTGTATAAAAACATGAAGTTATGCTGACTTTCTAGTGATGATTTTCTTGCTATTATATTCCCAGAGACCATTTTGTATATTTTCAACTCTAGAATGGAAAATTTATAAATTTTCTGAACATTGCAGAGTGGATCCCCAATAGAAACGAATTTCCAGGGCATGGTTATGCCATCAATGTGGCCTGAAGAACAGGTACACGGGAACAGACAGCAGTATCAGCAGCTGTGGCATTTAGATGGACTGCATCAGCCAATCTGGGGTCGGGAAGAAGACAATTCTAACTTTATTACTCCAGAAAACTCGCTGTTGAGCTATGACTCTTCAGCAAATTCAGGTAATGCGAATCTTCTTGTGATTCTAAAAACTATGTATGGATTGGATTGTGTCCTTTAGTACCTATAGTACTCCCAAGTAGTTTCTATTTTCGCACCCGTTTCAACTGTAATGGTGGGTGGGTTATTTCAGTCTGCATACAGCATCATACTCTAGAAATTAAAATGTGGAACCAGTGGTTCAAAATTATATATATGATATTTTACCCAGTTGGGCTCCCATTTCTGCTCCGTTGAAGCTAGTAAACCCCACCATTCGCTTCATCCAAAAAGATCCAAGTAAAAGAACCAGTGGAAGCAAAGAAAAAGGAAAAAAGTGCTTCAAAGAAAATACATAATATTACTTGCTAGCCCATCCAAGAAGCTACTGACTCTACGTAATAGTAATTGTTTTTGTGTTATTGCAGCTTCTTTGCACTCAAATCAGCTGAAAATGGAGCTTTGAAGGCGGTGGTCCTGAAGCTGCTATACATTACTTGCTAGCTAGCTGTATATAAATCACATATAGTAGTGTTATGTTAGTAAATAGCAGGAAGGCGTAGAGAGGATGCCTCGGCCAATTCATTTGGTTCCTCATTGGGTTCCTACATTCTCTGGTTAACCAGCTGGCAGAATATCCATCCATCCATAATGCAATCATCTTCTTATCTCAGCTTTTGAGTGTAGTAGACTGCAGTTTATTTTGTTGTTATTCCTCCTATATATATATATATATATATATATATATATATATATACATAACACTCCTACATGTCAATAGGCCCTTTTTAATAGATAGAGAGTCATTCAATCCCATTCTTCACGTTTGAGCTCTGATTGATTGATTCGTAATGTAAAATGGTGGATTGCCTCAAGAGTTGCCGGCTTTTGAGGTTAATTCTGGGATTAGGTTTATAAAACAACAAAAGTCTGATTCAGGCTGTTGAAAAAAGACAAATTGCCTCAGGGTTGAAAGGGTATTGGGTGGTAGTATCCCACTTAGCAGCAGGTCCCCCCTATAGGTACATTTGTCCCACATCGGGGTTGGGGTTGGGTTTGGGTTGGGATATAAGTCCCTGGGATTGCCTCAAGAGTTGCCGGCTTTTGAGGTTAATTCTGGGATTAGGTTTATAAAACAACAAAAGTCTGATTCAGGCTGTTGAAAAAAGTAATGTAAAATGGAGATCCAGAACCAGAAGCAGCATTTATGCTTTAACTTTTGTCTGAAAGATGCCCCTCTTTCTTTTCTCACCATCATCAATTCTCTGTTTTTTTTTTAGCCGTTTGTACTTTTGGAGCTAATTCTATGATTCTCCGAAAATCCTAAGAATGATTTAATCATTCAGGGTTCACTGTTCCAAGTAAGCGTTGCGTGAAGGACTCTTTTTGTACAACAACAAAGACGCTACTGCCGTAGTCGAATTGGTCAAATTATACATATCCCAAAGGACTCCACTACCTAGAAAATGCTGATCCCATTTTTCTTCTACCACCTAATAACGCTCCGCACACACGCCGCCACCATCCTGTCCCATGCCGCCGCATCGCCACTCTCCTTCTCCGTCAAAGACTTCGGGGCCAGGGGGAACGGCGTCCACTACGACACCCTTCCAATCCAATCCACCATCGACGCCTGCTCCGCCGCCGTCTCGACCTCCCCCCACATCCCATCATGCCACGTGGAGTTCCCGCGGGGGAAGTACTTAACGGCCACTGTACACTTAAAATCCAGCGTGATTTTGCGCATTCACAAGAACGCCACCATATTGGGGGGCACGAAGATCGAAGACTACCCGAGGGAGCAGGAAAGGTGGTACGTGGTGCTGGCGGAGGATGCAGCAGACGTGGGGATCACCGGCGGCGGAGAGATAAACGGACAGGGGTTGAAGTTCGTGAAGAGGTTTGAGAAGAGGAAGAATGTGATGGTGAGCTGGAACGAGACGGGGGCGTGTTTGGGGGACGAGTGCAGGCCAAGATTGGTGGGGTTCATCGGTTGTAGGAACGTCAGAGTGTGGGACGTCAATCTTATCGAGCCCGCTTATTGGTGGTACGTCTACGCGCGTCCCACTTCTCTAACTCTTTTTCAGTTTTCTTCGTCCTTCATTTGCTCCTCATCTTTTATTTGGACATTTGCAACACTTCACTTCAGCTGTAGGCACGCAAGGACCCCCACTTTGGATTGTGATTTCTTTTTGCGAGATTTTTTTTTGGGGGTATAAAACACGCTCTAACTCTTATCTTCTTCTTCTTCTTCTTTTTTTTTTTTTAAAACAAGTACTACATCTTTTTTTTTCTTTTTAAATGTACATATATGAAATTAAAAAAAGAAGTAATCTTTCTAGTATATATTTACTGTCACATTTGGATAAATGATAATTATATATATTTTAAATTTAAAATTTAATTTTTATACATGTATCATTAGTATATTTATTATCATTATATATAAAATTTACTCTTAAAAAAAGTTAAAATGTGTCAAAGAATATTTTCGCGAAAACTCAAAAAAAAGTTTATTCCACCAAAAAATACAATTCAATCAAGGAATCTGTGACATCAATCTCACTGAGCCGGCCTTATATATATATATATATATATATATATAACTTTTTGAAGTTAGGTAATAGGCCAGAATTTCTTTTTTGGCCTCTTTGTCGCTTTACTCTTTAGTATGGAATATGAACTACTCAACCATTGAGCCAAACACCAACAAGGGATTAAATCCCGCTTTAGACTGTAGGTCGGATGTTTGAACCTCACTTATAGTGAAAAAAATTTAAAAGTGGTGTCAAGTTTTCTTTTGATTAATCGAATCTGTATAATTACTTGCCTCTTACGCAGTCTCTTTAGACTTCCCTCAGTGTATGTAAAATAGAATAGATTAGATAAGTACAAAGTACTCCTTTTACTTGGTGGCTACTTATGACCTTTTAGACTGGGGAATGGGATGGAAAAAGGAGAACAGGCAGGTAAAATATAGCTTCAAAATGAAGCATTTTCTCTAGCACAAGAGGCAAAGAGATGCATGCTAATTGTAGATAAGTTATCTGGAGATAATCATCACAGTAAAACTACCACACTAATCAGCCAAGGAGGGTCTTCAACCTTGTCTAGTATGTGATGCATCTTATTCTATACATGTTTCTTTCTTCTTTTTCTCTTTTTATTTTTTTCTAATCGATATGTGATTCACAAAAAAGGTGGATTTTTTAGTTACATTTTGTGCATTGCATGATTAAACACATAATTTGAGAATTTTGTTAATACTTTGAAGTTAGCGCCCATTCTATATATATATAGTCTGACAAACTTGTTCACGGGAGGGATGTCAGTTCTTTATTTATTAAAAACAGTGAAATAAGTAGAAGGTGGAGGGGGATGAGTGCCCGGCCTCCAAGAAATAAAAAGTAGTAAACGAGGAGTTACGACTCTCTCACAAAATGGTATTATATAGTTGTGTGGTGAATGGTAGTTTTTCTTTTTCAATGTATGTATGAAAGAGCATGCATCATTTACTTGAGTGCTGCCGTGTTTGTACATGCAATCTGAAGTACATTTCGTAATGTTGCAGTTTGCACCTTGTCCGCTCGCAAAACACATCAGTGGAAGATGTTACAATATATGGAAACTTCAATTCACCTAACAATGATGGGATTGATATAGAGGATTCCAATAACACATTCATCACAAGATGCAGAATTGATACAGGAGATGATGCTATTTGTCCAAAGTCATCCACAGGACCTGTCTATAACTTTACTGCAACCAACTCCTGGATTCGAACAAAATCTTCAGCAATCAAGCTTGGCAGTGCTAGTTGGTATGATTTCAAGGGATTTTTGTTTGACAATATTACTATTTATCAGTCCCATAGAGGGCTTGGCTTCCAAATAAGAGATGGGGGTAAGACATCATTATCACATGGAAAGTGAATCTTAGCTGTATCTGAGTCGAAATTTAGACTGATAAATGCTGCTGCTTCTCCTTTTGCTGCAGGGAATGTTAGCGACATTAAATTTTCCAATATAAATATCAGCACAAGATATTATGATCCTTTGTGGTGGGGAAGAGCTGAGCCTATTTATGTAACTACCTGCCCGAGAGACTCGACTTCAAAAGAGGGTTCAATCTCCAATTTACAGTTCATTAACATCACGGCAACTTCAGAAAATGGCATCTTTTTATCAGGTTCCAAACATGGAATCTTGAGCAGTTTGAAGTTCATTAACGTAAATCTCACGTACAGAAGACGGACAAGATTTGCGGGTGGTCTGTTCGACTACCGTCCAGGATGTGAAGGACTTGTGAATCACAGCACAGCAGGGCTCATGATGGAACACATAGATGGTTTGGTTGTTCAAAATGTGAACATGAGGTGGTTTGAGGATAACTCAGCCAGGTGGAATAATCCTCTTGAATTCAGGCCTTCTACTGTGAATAACATCTCTTTCCTGAACTTCCATTCAGGTTTCCATTCTGGTGAAGTAGCGACTATCTAGGCTGCAACAATAAGCTTGGAGGCCATATACATCCGACGAGGTGATTAGACGCATAGTTTCTGCTTTATGGTATCGATCAATTTCGATGTACTTTCAGAAATTCACATCACAGACCTGTATACACATTACTAGGGGTTGCATTTCCACAGCAGATACTGAAATGCTTAATAATGCCTAAATGGTTTTCTTTGCCTGTTTTCATACTTGCAGACTGAAAAATGAACGTTCAGAGCTTTCTTGTATACTATGTGATATGCTGAAACTGAATGACTCATTTGGCTTCGTTAGGTGTCATTACTAGATCACATACCCTGATGGTGCGAAGTGAAGTGAAAGAGTGAAATTTCCAGTGCTTATAGATTTTCCACCTAATGTTCAACTACCAAATAATCAGTAAGCTTTTGCAAATCAAAAATATGAGTTGGAATACTCTGACCTATGAACTGGTATTTATATATTAAGAAGTTTTCTTCTGCAAACCAGAAAAGAAAGGTAAAAAGGGAAAGAAATACCTCATAATCTCTATTCTTCATAAAAATGAAAATCAAATGTGTTTCTTACCTCTGAATCACTACCTTTTAGAAGTTTCTGTCTTAAACTCCAGCAGAATAAAATTATTGAAAACACAACAGTCTCATTCTATAGAAGAAAATCCAACATTTATTATCTCATCATCACAAAAGGGAAAAAAAAAAAAAATCATTCCAAGAATCCCCTTGCTACCATTAAGTCACTACCTCAAGTTTTCACTTTGTCTATCTCTTTTCAGACAGTTTCAATATAGAAAAAGGTGTGAAATTCAATCCGACTTTCTATCACTGATTCACCACCACCACCTGCATGGTTGTGTAGTGTTGTATCTCTCTCAAAATCTTCCATACCTTTCATGCTAGTGATAGATCACATCCAAGAATTGAAGAGATATTAGGAAAGGTAAGAGAATTGTCAGCCAGGATCAAGGGAGCTGGATATGTTCCCGATAAGGGGTGTGTTTTACATGATGTTGATGATGAGCAGAGAGAGTTGCTGCTGCTGCTTGGTCACAGTGAAAAACTAGCTTTGGCATTCGGTATAATTGCTATTCCTCAAGGAAAGCCTATTCGGGTTACAAAAAATCTACGGATTTGTGTTGATTGTCATAACTTTGCCAAGTTTGTTTCCCAGGTTTATCGAAGAGAAGCATCTCTGTGGGACGAAGGACGATATGATAATATTGTTGATGGAAAGTGCTCATGTGGAGACTACTGGTGAAGGGTGTAAGATAATCATACAAAAGGTGGATTTTATACCATTTTGTCTCTAGAGTGTATGCTTGGATAATGTAGAGACCCTATGAAATGGTAACAGTTATGTGGGAACCTGGGTAAGCACAGATTTTGTCACCACTCAGCATCAAGAAAAGATACACTTTGATTTGTGGGGCTGGGAGGAGGGAGGATCCATAGTTGCTCAAAAGTTATCTTATGTAATATGTAGTGTTGTTTACCATTGGGAAAGCAGCTATGGGCAAAGAAGATAGAAAAAGCAACTAGGGGCGTGAACTTGTTGCTTTTTAATGACTTTCACGTACATGCTGAAAGAAGTTGGTCGAGGAGTTTCCAAGGACATTTTAACCACTTAAGAGCTGAGGAGGATATCCTGAGAGGGGGTTGACCAGCATAATCTCATAGTTATTGCATCTGATGGTTGTATCATTTCCTGCGGAGGAGTTCCTTGTTCTCCATGAAGCGCAGATACTGATCCTTGACACTGGACCGCATAACATTTCTCTTGAACTATCATATGTGATAAAAAATTAAGATGCAAAGTTTCAATCAACTGTTCTTGGCAGACAACAGCATGAAGACTGTTCATTGTGTGGAGTTGCTGAGACGAATACAAGCCAGCTTTGCATATGCCGGAGGTTGGACTTCTATGGAAGCACCCCTGTTAGCTCAGCTTATTTGAAGTTGAGATGAGCAATTGTTTATATTTTAGCTATAAAGCTTTTCAAGAAGTGATACTTTTGGATTTTTTTTTTTAATAGTTCAATTTCCTTTACTAAGCATTTCTGTTCACCGTGAAAGGCTTAATAAGGATCTACAAATTGTCTCACGTAATATGCTTTAATTTTGTAAACCCCTGCTTTTCAGTTCAGACTTGGCTTGTGGAACATGGAGATTGAAATTTTCCATAAATTTCGAAGCCACATTTCAAGACATTTGAGGTAAGTTTTCTGTTTAGCCTATCTTTTTTTTTTTTTTTTGTCAAGAATTTGCAAATTTAACACCTAAATTAACTGCACGAGAAATACCAAAAGGCAATTGCGACTTTTGGCACCGCACGAAACTTAAATACTAAACTCACACGCCCTCCACAAACGATGTGGGACTCGGGGCGGGGAACAGGTTCTGTTTAGCCTATCTGAACTGGTCAAGTTTAAAGAACTTTTAACAGTTGCAGATATCATGAAAAGAATTTTATATAGGCATAATAAGGTGACGGAATAATAATAATAATAAAAAACAATGAACACATTTCTACTTCAACTTATTCTGTAATCAGGATTTTTTTTTTCTCATGGTTAATTCAAAAGCCAACATTGTACAATTTTTATATAAATGTACATGTAGTTCTACATAAACCGTTCAAAATTATCGTAATAAAACGATCCAATTTTAGTCGTAAATTATGTTCAATAATAAAGGTCGTAATGTAAATTTCAAAGTAAGATTACTTATAAATCTTTTAAGGGACTATCGAATACTTCTTCTTTATTTTTAATTAATCAAGAAAATATTTATTATACTATTTTAGTGCTCTTACCAAAGAAAATTCGACATAAAAAAAAAACAAAATAAAATTCATATTAGAAATTTCAGAAAAATAAAAAGGTAAAAGACTTGAGAGCCACAACGACGCCGTATGGTGTTACCGATATCTGCCCGCTTCAGTCTAAGATCCATCCTAAGGGTACAAAAGTGGATTAGTCACTGAAGAGCTCAGTCTTCGTTCCCAAACGCGACATCGCAGTGGAAAAATGCCGTCCCCGAAACCCTTGGCCACAGCGGCAGGCATGTTGCGGGCGCGATTGAGCCCAGCCCTTCGAACAAGAGGAGGAGACGCCCACGGGCCGAGTCGATGGGCTACACCGGGCCACCAAGAGAGACCCAACGGCTACTTATTCAACCGGACGCCGCCGCCGCCGGGACAGTCTCGTAAATGGGAAGACTGGGAGCTGCCGTGTTACATCACCAGTTTCCTCACTATCGTCATACTCGGCGTCGGGCTTAACGCTAAGCCCGATCTCACTCTCGAGACTTGGGCACACCAGAAAGCCCTAGAACGCCTCGAGCTTGAATCCGCTGCTTCGCAGGAGTCTGATTAATCTGGAGGATGATGATGAAGAAATAGTCATTTTGGGGTTTGGTTCTTCTGTTGATATGTTTTCATGGTGTAGTTGAAAATAAGGGTTTTTGGTTGACTTCTGGAGCTGGGACTCTGGGAGATATGAAATCTTTTGAGATTTTAAATTTACTTTACTGCGTTTTTATTTACTGGAATTTTGACTATGTTAGCCTTATGATCTTGCAATCAGAATATGTTAATTTTACATAAAAGCTTATGTTTTTTGTAATTTAATCATAAGTTTTTGGTTATTGGAATTTAATCTTAGTTATGGTGGTTGATTCACTGAAATGTTAATTTTGGAGTAGCAGTTATTGTGTATCCATAGTTTCAAATATTTATGTGAATTGTATTTCAGTGGCGGTGTTTTGTAGTAAATGCCTTGGAACCTGGTAGAATTAGCATGAAATACCGTGCAAATTTCTGGCTGATGTGGTATTGGACCTTAGGTGGTTCTGTGGATAATTAGGCTTTCCGGTTGCTGCTCTTTTTGGAACCTTGGTTATATTTACTCATCCATTCATAAGGATGTCTTCATACCATAATGGTTAAGGAACTTCCAGACCCCAACTGGATATGTATTTCTTGCGTCTTGATGCAGTTTACTCGAACTTCTGTGGTTCATGTAGGATTTACGGGTGATTGAACCCGTATGTTGGTAACCTTAACTATAGTTGATTAGAAGGTAAGTTTAGATGTTTGTTATCTGTAGTTTAGTTGATGGTCCACTCCTTATGTGGTTTTGCATATAGCATAACAATTTCACCAACATTCACAAGCACTGTAAAGTGGTCTTTTCAAGATAATTGGAATGCTTATACTTTAAGCTCATCTGTTGGAATCCCTGCTGTTTGCTCTTTGAAGAAGAAATGTAAGCGGCTGTCTCCTTTGCTCCCATGCATTTTGTTGAGCACTCTGGAGGAGGTGTCCATACACTTTTTTTGGTTATCTGTTCAGATGTTTGTTTTTCTTCTTTTGGGGATAAAGAAGGAAGTGAGGAGGAGGGGCTTCTGATTTTCACTCAATAAAAATGTGTCTGCTTCCTGCATATATGAAGCAGTATATAGTTCTCTATGTTTCAAGATATTGTTTCATAAACAGAGGCTACTTGGGTTGCTAGAATATTGTTAAATGTTGTTGAACCACGGACACAAACATTTTGTGATTCACTACATTTAGTTGGTCTATTTTGGGAATGGGTTTAACTTGACATTTAGGTCTAAAGTACTTCTGTCTGTTTGATGTGTGGCTCACTGCGATTAATCAGTCTAATGAAGTAATCTGTTTTGGAGGTGCCTATGAAATTGATTTGCAAGAAAACAATGCCACCTTAAACAGAGATCTTAATGAGCTCCAGAAACTTTTGACCAGCTAGCCAACTATTACTTGTGGTAGACTTGGGCCTTGTTTCTTGTAAGGGTTGAATCAAGTATTTCAAACAGTGATGGAGGTGCTACCCATGTTTGATTATTGTTATTGGAGAGTTCTGTTTGTGGTGTATGATGTAAATAAACAAGAATACTTAGATGTGACCTGTACTCTGAGCATGTGGCAGAAGAAAACTAGCGCATTATGGCCTTTTGATCCTTTTCTTTTTAGTTTTTGCAAGCTTGCTAGTTTTTGGAGTTGAGAGGCATGATAGATTTCTTCATCAGCAAGGCAAATAGAAAGTACCTTGACCAATCAGAACGTGTTTTAACATATCAGTTGGCTTATATGCAAACAATGAACTTGACATCATAGCTTCTGAAGCTGGTGTTACCTTCAGTAGGTTCAACTAAAATTTCTCTATGAAGGTGATGATCCTTGAATCTGTGAATTCTGGGCAATCCTTTTTTTGTTTTTATTTTAATCTCCCTTATTCTAGGATGCTTTAAGAGATTGAAGTTTCTCCTGTTACATGAAATTGACGGCATGCTCAGTAGTTCATTCGTGAAGCCTTCATTGAGTACCTTTGAAGCATAAATTGGGATTTGTTGTGGTTTGATACCAAAGTCCACCTGGTTGCTTGTCAAACTTGCTGAACGAGAATATGCAAGTACTTTCAGTTGGTATCCTCAGTGGATGGAAGTAGGTCATTTGGCAAAACATGCTGCGGGAGTAGGAACATGGAAATGATGATCAGATGCTTAGGAGATCGTCTGAGGACAGTACATTCCACCTGCAGCTTCCAAGAATGTGTGGTTTTTCTGGGTTTTTTTTTTTTTTTTTTGGGTCCTTTCCGACAGTTTAATCAATAGTCTGCCAGTAATTCATATGACAAATATTCAGATGCTACCATTGAGTGAGTGACTAACGCCATTAGATGCTTGTGTTCCTGTTGGCCACGCACACTTCCTTTTTTGTCATTTTATGTAATGCCAGAGATGCCTTTCTTCCACCAACATTTCAAACACCCCACTTTCTTCTATTGCTGCTCCCTTTCATTTGCCAGAGGCCGATGGGATGTTTTTGGTGAGTTTTTGAGCGCGCTGAAAGTGAAAGGGGGAAGAGTAGTTTCCAACAACGACAGAGAGCCCAACGGAGGCCTGCCAAAGCTATTAATTGGCAGGCAGTGCGCAGGAGTCAGGACCCATTGGACACAAGTAAGTTTTTTCTGCTTGTGGCGGAAAATGAGTGTTAGACATTGGAATTATATGTACGTCGACTTCATTACATGAGCCCAAAGGCTCACTCAAAGCCAGATTTCGCAAACCAATTAAAAATGATGATCAAATGAGCCCAACTACATCGAAGAGAGAAAGGTTCCGATTAAGGAACAAGACCTGTTCTTCCCTCTGTTGCCGAGTTCCTTGACAATTTAAAGAATCGTTTTTGACTTTGAATCCCTATCTTTCCTCTTTAACATTTTGTAAATCACTTCCATTTCAGTAGCTGAAAGACAGGTGAGAAATAGTACGAGTGTGTTTGGATAGAAAATTATTTAAAATATTACTTGAACTAATTATGGTAACAATTTTCTGTGATGTGATGTGATGCATATGAAATAAAAATATTTTTTGTAAAGATATTCGAAATATGATCTAAAATGAAATAATTTACTATAACACTTTTCATAATGTGGCGTATAGAAGATTTTGGAAAAAAAAAGAAAAGAAAAGAGCTGTTTTAAAGATTAAAAAAAAATCGATTAAGAATTGTAATTGTGATGCAAGTAAAATAATATTTGAAAGAAATAATCAGTTAAGCCACTAACCATTCACTAGCTTAAGGCCCAAAACAAGCCCAAAGCCAGGTTTGATCCGTGCTGTTTCACGGACTGACATTTGACAGATAATCGCGGCACTTGTATTATTTAATAAGAAAAGAAAACAAAAATGAATTTGGACCTAATTGATTCGAGTCCATAGCATGGAGTAGGTGCACGGGGAGGCCGTGAGATAGGACTGGGATTAACGTTCGTCCCATGACTTTTGATCACGGGGACTCAGATCTAAAGCTGCATCATCATGCATTGGAAGCTTTGCCAGCGAATTTGCAATCATATCTTATCATGGTCAACCTTAAAAAAAAAAAAAAGGGTGTTTATCTGTACTTTCGAGCAAACAAATGTGAGCAACAATCTATAAACTAAGGAAGAACTAAGAGTAATAGCTCAAGAAAGAAAGATAAAAGAAAGAGATCTGCACGTTTGGATTGCTATTTTATGAAAATTTTATA